TCTCAAATCTTGTACATCATTTATTAACATTTTTATTAATGATTTCAATTCTTCCATATATTCACTTATTGACATCTTAATTTTTTTCTTATTTCTAACTCATAAGTTAATTTGCATCTTTTATCTTCTTTCTTATCTATTATTTTTCTAAATCTTCTGACTATTTTTGAATCTACTAATTCTTCTTTAACTATAGTAAAATATTTGCTCTCCAGTCTTAATCTTTCACATTTTAGTTTTGTTAATTGTCTATTATTTGGTATTTTCATTCCTTCTGGTATTAACATTATATTTATTTCTTCTTGTATTTTATCCATTTTTAAAAGTAATTTATTTAATTTTTCATGTGTATTATCAATTATACTCATATTTTTCTTTATAATATAAATTATTTTCTTCATCTTCATATATATTAATAATTTTTTCGTATGTATAAATATCTTTTATTCTTTCTATTATTAATTTTTCTAATATTTGTTCCTTTATTTCTTTAGGAAGTTCTTTAATTATTGTCAAAGTTATTATTTTTAATTTATTATGAATAGGTTTTAAAAATATATAACTATCTTTTTCTTCTTCTAAACACCAATAATTATCTATTTTTCTTAATTTAATTTCCATGATCTCTATGGCTCTGATACCAATAAATGGGGATGCTACTTAGAGCGAATGTAAATCAAATAAATCTAATAAACCAAATAACATATATAGGGGTGCTACTTAGAGCAAACATAAATCAAATAAATTGGTAATTTTCATGAAGTATTTGATTTTTGAAGGACTAAATTGAAATATTTCTATATTTCATCAACTTATTATGTAATATTATAAAGGGGTATTTTGGGTATCAAAATTAGCCAAAGGCTATTTTGAAAAAATGACCTTTCTATTTGGGTCATTTCCACGTATTCCCCCCCCCCCCCCCACACCCCTTGTGTGCGTTCTGACAGAGGCATGTGAGGAATCATGGCTCTAAATGCCAATGATCAACTTTTGAGGTGTGAACCTATCATCTTAGGTGAATCTTGTTCTATTCACAAGTGAAACCTGGGAGTGGTCATAACCTATAAGTATAGTATTTTAATTAAATTAAATGTTCTCAATTTTTATTCATTGTCATATATATCTGTTTCATCATATTCTTATTTTTATTTTTCATTAATTAGTAAATTTTGTTTAATCACGATTTTTGTTCAAAAATACTATTAGCATGCTATAAAACGCTAGATAAAATGTATAATCTTATTTAAAAATACACGAGACAAATAAGTATTTGGAAAAATTTCAAAAGCTAGGGGTTAAGTATCACAAATTCAATTTTCAGGTGACAAGTTTCAAAATGCAAAACTCAAATATTAACTAATTAATAATATTAATTAATTAAGTTTAATAAGGTCACAATTATATAAGTAATGTTCACATATACATAATTATAGGTCACAACTTTTTTTTCTGGTCACGTATTTTCAAATTAATTGGTCACAAATTATTCCGAGGTCATAAATCAAAAAAATTGTAGGTCACAAATTATTTCAATATCACAAATCAAAAATTTTATAGGTCACAGATTATTTCAATGGTCACAATTTATTTATCGATCACAAATTTTCAAATTTGTTGGTTACAAATTATATTTGAGTCATAAGTTATCGAATTTTAAGGTCACAGTTAAATAGTTAGTTACAAGTAATCAAATTATTGGTCACATATACCAAATAGTAGGTCACCACCGCCACTACCGCGACCACTCTCAACTCGTCATTGTCGCCACCACCAACAAAATCTCCACCACCAGATTCAAACAATTGCCCCCAAAACCAAAAAAAAAAAAAAAAAAAAAAAAAACCGCGAATGTCTAGCCGCCAACAACCACCTCCATCGTTGCCAGAAAACCACTACAATTGCCACTACCAAACACAACAAGAATGCCCAATCACAAACTCACCAACATAACCAACGTCTCCACCGTTGACATGACCACCGCAAGAAACCACCACCAAACCCACCAAACAATACACCACCTCTTAACCTCACCAACACCACCCAAATCACCACTGCCACACAAGCACCACCACTACCATCATCATCATCGCTGCCATTGGTAAAACAACCTCAACCACCACTCCTTCATTGACCAAAACACATCAACCGCTGTTGCAGATCGCAATTGGTTATGGTTCTGTCACAGATCAACATTCATAGTAAGAGCGGCGGCATCAATGTTTAACGTCAATAGATTGCAAACCCCCTCGTCGTTGCCGTCTTGAGTAGAGAAGAAGAAGTGCTCACACCCCTCGCCTTCGCCATTGTGAGCAAAGATAAGCATTGTGAATCAAAGAAGAAGCAAAAAAATGGTTGAGTCGTCGTCGCCGCGAAGAAGAAAAAATGAAGTGACAAAGATGAAGTGAATGTCACATGTGGGGCGGTTGGGGGTGAATTAATTAGAGTTTGGGTAGTGAATGTGGGGTGGGGCGGTTGGGGGGTAATACCTGATATTTGAACAAATAAATTTGATAGCTGGTTTTTGAATTGTGCATTTTAAAAACATGGATGTGTGTAATTTTTCCCAAGTATTTTTAATATATCTTAACAAAATTTTAGACAAAATTCATCATAAAAACAACTGTTAATTTGAAAATAAGAAGTACGAAAAATTTGAGGATAATATGTAAAGGTTTATGGACCTTTCATGTAGTTTAAGTGCCATCCAATTATTAAAAATGTGGTATGAATATATCTAGCCTTAATGAATTTACTGAAAGTATGAAATGTTAAACTGTTATAATTATTAAATAAACATTGCAATAAAATACAACAATATCCACTTACATAAATTTCTCAATTTATCAAAGGATTTTAAAAGAAAATCTCAAAATTCGATCTGTACCAGAGCTAGGGAAAATTCTGATGTTTTTTATGTATTCCCTCACCAAACCTTGTTATTTTGTACAAATGCACTCTTGCTCACAGTCGTGTTACTTTATCAATTCTAAGTACATGCTTAAGAATTCAGTTGTGGTCCTTAATAAATAGAAGAATCGAAGGGTATTTTCGGTAATAAATGTGTTTTTGACTTGTACAATATGTTCAAAAGTCGTAAACTAATGGAACGAAATTTTTTATTTATTAAAAACTCAAAATAAAGCCCAAACTAATTTTAATAAATAAACATAACAAAACGATGTTGGACCTAATATTTTTCATAATCGAACTCGAAATGTTGAACCCCTCCAATCTTAGTGCGCATTCTCATTCATAAAGAAATCTATAAACTCAAAATTAACAATAAAATGAAAACAAAATAATATAAAATCTATTTATATAATTATCAAATATTTATATAGTGTTTTTTTTTTAATATGAAATTTAGAGAAAATATTTTATAAAGTTTATAATTCTACACAAGCCTTATAAATCATGGATGGAAACCCCCCCCCCCCCCCCCCCCCCCGCCTTTCTTTAAACTTACAACATATTTTATATTAATTTATTTTAAATCAAAAGGTTAAATAAAAAAAATATCAATCTAATTTTCGGGCAAACAACTTTGTTCAAGCTTCAAATCTAAAATGAATTCATTTATATTAAAGAATCCAAAGATAATTATTCAGGATTATAATTCTTTGACCATAGAATTTGATACCTAAAAGTAACCTCAAACAAGGTTTAAGTTGCTTGTGGTTAGAGTTTGAAAATAGCTACAATAAGATTAATATTAAGGATACAGCGTGTGACCTTTCAATTACATTGTGAACACACTACCACTAACTTGTCTTATATAAAAGTAAATATATAAAGGAATTCATTCATCAATAACCTTAAGTTGTCTAATTTCTTACTTTTAAACATTTTTTTTTCTAAAATACTGTTTTTCCTTTTCCTGTTTAGTTATTTTAAAATAAAACTTATAACACGATGCGTCACCATTAGTAAAAAAGAAAAATCCAAAAAAATAGAAATAGCAGATATATTTCATGTCATTCGCTATGAAATATATCTGTTTTCAAATCTCAACATTATAAACATGGTTGGTGGAGAATCTATGGTTTTAATTGTTGTCTTGGTAGTGGTGGTCATGAACATAGAGAGGAGTGGTGGTTGGTGCATAGTTGGGGAGATGATTTAAGGACGAGGAGATGAGGGCCAAGGTAGTGGTGGTGATCAACAATTGGTGCTGGTGGTGGCCGATGGTAGCGGTGTTTGTAGGTTTACATTTCGCGTTTGAGTTTTCGTTTTGTGTGTGTACATAGCATTTGTGTACTTGAGGAATAAAAAGTAGCCTTTAAAGAATAAAAAATAGCAGGAAATAACTTTGGGATTTCAAAAGAAATGAAAGTAGTTGGCATAATTTCCACATATATAAATATATATTAGAAAAATATTTTGGATCCCCTAGAGATTGTGGGCCTGTGGAAGTCGGACATTATAAACATGGTTGGTGGAGAATCTATGGTTTTGATTTTTGTCTTGATAGTGGTGGTCATGAACATAGAGAGGAGTGGTGGTTGGTGCATGGATGGGGAGATGATTTAAGGACGAGGAGATGAGGGACAAGGTAGTGGTGGTGATCAACAATTGGTGTTGGTGGTGGCCGATGATAACGGTGTTTGTAGGTTTATGTTTCGTGTTTGAGTTTGCGTTTTTTGTGTGTACATAGCATTTGTGTACTTGAGGAATAAAAAGTAGCCTTTAAAGAATAAAAAATAGCGGGAAATAACTTTGGGATTTCCAAAGAAATGGAAGTTGTTGGCATAATTTCCACATATATAAATATATATTAGAAAAATATTTTGGATCCCCTAGAGATTGTGGGCCTGTGGAAGTCAAAGACTCTTTTCATCATTAATAATAAATCTCCTCATCCAGGGCAACATGGACCCTAGATTTACAGGGCGCTTATTTGGCGAAACCCCGACGGCCCATGGCTCTTCCATTAATTTTACATGGTGGATAATCCAAATCCATCGCGGAAAAAAAATAAATAAATACAGAGGTCAAAGTATAATAAAGAAACCAATAATTTATTAGTTTTTTTGCATCATGCTAAATTGCTAGAAAGGTCGACATAACCATTGACACAATATCACATAACATTCTATCATTGGATTGTTTCAACACCCATTATGTCAAGATATCTATCAACATGATTCTAGCAAAGTAGTATTATTCTAAATTTTTTTCCCCTTCCTCTATTCCCTGGTGCAGCAGTGATAGTACGGAAGCTTTCCAGCCATTGCATCATCAGTGTAAATCTATATATTTGTACTAAAGTATGACATCAATAAACAATCAAAGCTAATGGACATTTGCATATATTTCTTGTCCCACATGAAGCCATGCACCATGTTCAGTACTATCCTCGTATCTTAATAGTATGCCGAAACATATTTTCCCCTGTTACCACAAAATTGCAAAAGTGAAAATGATGAACAATTAAGACTGCAAATATTGGTACGTAAGGGAGTTGGCTGACCTTTACTCTTCTGTAAGATGCTAAAGTAGCTAATGGTTCATTCGATCTATGCACCTCGCCAGAGCTAGAGGTCATGTTGATCATCTGGCAACGATTGCAACCCCCCAATGACTGCAAAGCAAAAGCACGAGAAGATGAAGTGGAATTCAGGCACAAAAGTACTCAAGCTCATATGTGATACACAAATTTACAGTTTCAATAGAGCGGAAGCAAGAAAAAGTGTCTACAACCTCAAAACAGTATGCACATTGATTCATTGTTCATATTAGAAAGAATCTGTCTTGTACTTTGATTAGTTATTTTTCTTTTCAATGTCTTAGAAAACCAGACTCACACTGAAATAGTTGTCTCCAATTTTCAGATTTCTCCACTCATCTTCTATATAAGGCTTCCCACCAGACATAACAAGGTTGGGGCGAAATCTCATTGAAGTGACTTCAGTAGGAGGTTCATGGGAGCCATTCTGCAATTCTATTACAATAAAAACGAATTAGGCATTTTTGAGCATGAAATGTATATGTCTTCTTTAACTTTATTCAAGAAAACTAATCAGAAGACCTGATTTTCTCATAACAAGAAATATGCTTCATGAATATGCAGAAGAACGTCTAAATTATGAAAGCAGGTGCACAGTACGTACTTGATCTCAATCTGTTGTTCAAATCAGCAACACTTTCCTCAGATATCAACAAAAACTGAGCTTCATTCACAAAATTTAAACTAGTAGCTATATCTCTGCAGATCCCTGGACTCTTGTCCCTAATAGGGCACGAATGTGACTGTGAACCAGTATTCCTTATAAGAGTACAATGCCGACCAACAGCTTTGCTAAACCAATTGTCGACTTCATCACTGGATGCCTGGACTTCATATCTAATCAATAAAAAATTTTCCATCTTCAGTGACCACTTTGGTTTCTTTTTACATCCTTTTTGTTTGACTTTTGGAATGGACAAATGTAAGCAAAAGGATGAATTATATGAAAGAAATTAGCACATTTTTCGGGCGAACTTGTCACAACTCCTCTAGGCTCTTTTATAGACTTTGTTAAGGCGCCAAATCTCATTGACTTAAAGACGTGATTGCTATGTGGTAGGATGTCACATGGGGCATGGAGAGAGAAGCTTAGGTAAACTTGAGTCAAGGTTAAAGGAAAAGGAAAGGAAATCATAATGGCGAAAACGGAAGAAAATGAAAACTTTTGACATTCGGAGATTGGGCATTAACTTGTAGAACCTAAAGAACTATGTAACTATGGCAACGGTAGAAATGAATGGTTATTAGCAAAAGAAATTCAATGGAAAGTGCTTGAATCTTAAAAACAAGTAAAAGGATATACACGTTAATCGCCAAAAAGAGTTAAGAGGAAAAAAAGGATGGGCATTATAGTGTACAACAGAACTGAAAAACATACATTATGTAGAAAATCTTTCTATTGTCTGAAAGTGACAGCATTTTTTTCAGATGCAAGGAAACTAATAATCATGGAAACAGTCTTCCGAAAAGGGTGACATGGGTCCAAAAATTTAAGTACAACACAGACATCATGTAACCATTTTGTGGGAAAAAAGAAAGAAAAATAAGGTAAGAACATCAAAGCTAAGGTCTTATAAATACACAAACTTCAATGATTCATTAATGTTTAAGATTTTGAATTCACCCACCGCCGTCGCCGCCGCCACCACCAACAACAACAACAATAATGATAATGATAATAATAATAATACCACAAGGTAATTATTGTATATAATCCATGACTTTCTAGACCAACCAAATAAGAACACAAAGTTCACACCTTTGAGAATATATCTTCATCTCCTCTTTTTCAGAGATCGTAGGATCTGATTTAAGTTTAATCTGCAGTTTCTCTTTGCAACGGGGTGACTCCACACACAGTATTTCCAAATTGAGATCAATCGATGCAGTAATATAGCACATGTCTGGAACCTAGAATCCATAAACAATTTATCAGAATTTGCATTACATGAAAATAGAAAAAAGGAAAATAAAAAATGAATTATTAATGCAACCAGATCAACTTTATAATACAAAACATCTCATTTTCCTGAAAAATAAGTTTGCGAGAATAGAATTTGAGTTTCTTATTTGAGCGCACATTGTTGACAAATTTTGTACTTTCTAATCACCCAACTTATTCCATAGTGTAAGAGTAGTCGAAGCAAAAAGGGGACACAAATACATGATACCCTAGTATTAGATTTCACTGAAATTACGTCATTTAAGCCAGAAAGCTTGAGCAAACTAAGATGATGCACATCTGTCACTTCTGCAACTATTTTTTCCCCTCTCTGAGGGCATTTATCAAAAGTTAAGATGACCTAGTACCCTTTGAAACTGAACATCACCAACTAAAATGATCCAACGTTACAATTTGACAGTTAAGTCACATGTACCACACACTTGTAGTGAGACAAACTAAAGTGAAGACGACGGTCTTACTTGAATAAATCCCAAGATTTGAATGCATGAAGTTACAGTCACCTGAAAAAAAAAAAAAAGAAAGAAAGATCCCAACAGCACCCCTTTCTCCCATAACTTCTACATAAGACTGCTCATTAACAGCTATTGTGATAACAGCTATTGTTCATATGAAAGACTGGAAAGTGGAAAGTAAGTAGATATGGCCTTCACAAATGATCAGACCATCCATATGCAGAATTTCTGACACAGAAGCTTGCAAAATGTGCCTTCAAATGGGCTGCAAGCTAAACTAAAGCACACAATGGACTAAGGAACATGTCTGGATCAAAAAAACTACTTCATATGTGCTCATAAATTCACCTTCTTTTGAGTAAGAATTTCCCCATTTAAGCTCTTGAGAAGCCATTCTCTATCATGTAGCAATCCTGAAATTTGAAGAAGATAACATACAGTAAATGAGACTTCCATGGAAAATGTGGCTAAGCTAGTCCGATAAACAAATACTTAAGTTTCTAATGAAGATAGAACCCTGCATATGTTGACAGAAGTATGCAAGCAGTAAAAGGTCTAGTGAGCATAAAATATAAAATATGAACAAATATGTCCAACCCTGACCCTGACCCATGACCAGCAACAATAGCACACATGTAGTGGACCGATAGTGATCAATTAAGGGTTTCTTTAAGTGAGAATTTTACCAAAACGACATCTATAGATAACAGGTAACAGCTCATTCCTGTATACATGTCTTGACCCAGATCTGGGACCAGCAAAGATGCCACACGGGCAGTGAATCAATAGTCATCAACTAAGGTTTTCTGTTTGATAAGTGAGAATTTTACTAAAAATGACATCAATAGAGCGAAGATCATGCCTTGTGGGTTCCTGGTAAACATGTCCGATCCTGATCCTTGACCAGCAAAGATGCCACACGTGCAGTGGATCTACGGTGATCGATTAAGGTTTCATTTTTGTAACTGAGAAATTTACGAAAACGACACCAATAGAGCACAGCTCATGCCTGGTGGGTTCCAGGTAAACATGTCCTAGTAAGTCTAAATGCAGGAATATGATATTATTGTGGGCCAATGAGGAGCAGGATGTTGTGAACTTGTTATTGATCCAAATGGAGGAAGTAGATAGGTATTAGGTAATGCAGTTTACAAATATTACCAGTACGAGTTAGAGGCCAACTCTCCACACTGAACCCTGCACACGATTTTATTGGATAGATAGTAATAGATTTAAGAAAGTATCTCGCGATAGCTTTATCAGCATCTGCAAAGAAAAATGGAAAGATGCAAAGCAATATAGTCAGAAATTAATTAAAGTGACACCATATCTCCTATCAGACAGATACTATTATTAACTTAACTCTGCATATATCATTACCAAAAGAAACCTTTGAACCAAAATAAATAGACCAGAATTAACAGGAGCAAAACTTAAGAGCTTGAAAAATAACCTTCAGTTACAGGATGGATAGCCCTTGCTACAGGTGGCAACACTACAAATCCATTCTCAATAAACCTCAAAAATTTCTGCAAACCAAGACCAGAAAAGAAGAATGATAAGAAAATGGGAAACAAATCCATATTTTCAAATAATAACATCATAAAAAATAACACCATCAAATAATTAAAAACATCCTTTTATATCAACTAGTTTAATCAAATGTTCACAATGGAACCCGATTCCCAGAAAGTCAACTGCTAGTAAGATAGCTGGAGAAGAATTTATCGTAGTAGTATGTTACAACAGACAAGAAAACAGTAACTTTATCGCAGAAAAATTTAAGACAAAGTTTTGTGTGGACTTATACTCAGGTAATAATGAGTGAAATGACATGAAAAAAAGAATTGGACAACAAGGTACTGCTATAGTTATTACTAAGGTTAAAACAAAAACCTCAGTGCAAGCAAATATCATAAACAGTGCAAATCTCCTTCAATAAATTAAGAAAGGTAAACATTTATAAAAGAATTTGACATCAGAAAGTAACAGCAGCTTTATGCATAAAGGAATACCCTTGCATCTCCAAATGTTGACATATAACCGAATGACACTCTTACAGCTCCAGTTGGTTTTCCATTCATTATATCACGATCATCCCAGCAAATATGACCTGCCTAAATCATACAAATTATGCAATAGACAGCTGGATATGAATTAGATGATCTTTCTGTTATTACAATCAGTAAAAAATCCAGATTTACCTCAACATTAGAGAGAAGATCCGAATGAGATAGACCGAGGTATTTTGCACATGCACCAGGATTACAAAAGCATCCTGTCTACGCGCAAAGATTGGAAAGAAAAGGAAAAGAAATACATCAGAAACTTCTAAAATATTATAAACTAGACAAATTAGATCAGTGTCCTGATAGTCAAATCTTAGCCCATACACAAAGCTTAAAGGATGAAAACAATTGTTAGCACATCAGATAAAAAATTGCACATATTTTTTCCACTTAGAATGAGTGATGACAAGAAAATAACATTTTACTGTGATATGTGCATAACTAACACCATAATAAAAGCATGATTCAGGTTATTACTAATTGGCCTTAGCTGTTCACATAGCTGGGGAAAGAATATGACACAATTTTCTCGGTAGTGAAAATTATTCCAGCAAACCCTTAACGCTCTACCAAGATGTACAGAGGAATGCACAAGGAGTTCCAGAGTGTCCTGTGGGTTGCACTTCCTTAAGTGGTAATCCTTTGAGTCTTTTATGAGGAGGAAATGATGGCATATATCCAAAATTTGAACAGTTAGTTGCTAAGATGATGTTGGAGACCTTAATAATAGAAAAGTCATTTAAAAATATGTGGTTATTTAAATTTTTAATAAATTGTAGACAAAAATGAGAAAAATTATGAGAGACCGATTACATGGAGAAAATCAAAAAATGAAAAAGTTCTCAGCCAAGTTTAAACAATCCTGAAAGCTTCAAAGGGCATTCACTAGCCATTTCTCCCATTAAGAAAGCACATAATAATCTGTCTAACGAATGGTGTCTTAGAAATCCCCGAGAAAAGTGAAGAGAGAAAACAATACAAATATCCTGTACCTATGGTCTAAACTCTTACCCGTAACTGAACACCCGATAAGGATGCTAGTTTTTCCACCTCCCGATAGCCAAACCAGGAACCTTCTGGCCTTCTCAAGTTAAATGAAACTGTAGGACCCATTTTATTGCATAATACCTGATGAGGAAACCCAAAATCTATTCAGTTCATTTTCTTTATTCCAAAGTAAATAAAACAGAAAGACATGCTTGTCTGCAAGATCACAATGTCCTAGTAAATAATAAGCTATAGAGTTCAAAAGTGCATTAATTTCTTGACCTTGAAGTAACAACTAATGTAAGAAAATTTAAAAAAGAGAGAGTTTTCTTTTTGGAATTGCTCATTGCAACAGAAAGCACTGAACAATATGTCACCTCCAATATGTTATTGCAATTTAGTTCATCTTTTACAAGTCGCAAGTCTGCGTCTAATTACAGTTATACAATCCACTCCTCAAACAAATTGAAAGAAGCTCAGGTACACTAACCTCCGAATCTCTTAAGCCATATAGTGTGCAAACATGATGGCCATTTGCATGCCTCAGATCCAAGAGCTTGTTCCTCACATAAGTAGCAAGTGATGACGCATGCCTTCAAAATGTTGAAGCTTATTTAGAACAAGTCCTCCATTTAAGTTTAAATTTCAATACAATGAGAAGAAAATAAATTTCAAGGTGAATGTATTATGCCAAAGCAAATGGGCAGTGTTTGTACAACATTCATTGAAGAATTCATTCAATAACATTTACCCTAATGCATGCTAACTTTGATCTACTCGTGAAGAAACTAAGAAGGATAAGTAATGCAGGCTCCAAGGTTACAGAGTTTCAAAAACTAATTATTAGGACATCTCTATACAGAGAAACCATGACCCTGTCTCGTAATCATAAACTAATAAATAATGGATCATAGAATATATTTTTAACTTCCAGAACAGCTAATTTAATGACTGAAACCAGATAAGACGCACCAAAAAAAAAAAAAAGGAGATTAACATCTATTGAAAATTGAATCTTTTACCAAATCTATATTATTGATATATGTGAGACACAGACAATAAATAAAATTGATTAAAAAATTTAGACAGAAGAAGAAATTTTATAAAATACTTCATTAGTTTTTGCCTTGAGATGGCGTTTACTGTTAATCATCAGATACATTAACAGAATCTACAAGTAATGCCTGAAATTAGGAGTCAATAACACTCGTGCGTGTGCTAGTGTTACTGCAGATGCTGCAGAGTTTTGTTATACCGGGATATTGCAGTCATGGTTAATGCATTGAGGATTTTGAATCCATGGTGAAGAGACGCTATACTCAGGAATGATATGGTTCCATCCTCAAAATATTCCTCAACACCCTCTCTTCTTTTGAAAAAGTCAATGTCTGCAATTGATGCAGCTACGGTGCCTGAAACAATTCAGATGTCACCCAAGAGCAGTATTCCTGTCAAATGTTAAAATAGCTGGGAGAATGGGTCAAAGAGCAAACCTCCACTAAAATATGTCTTCTTCATTAACTTGGCAGCTTCTGTTGCAATTTTTTTTGTTGGGAGAGACTGTTAGTGCGTTTTCTTGAAAACAGAAAGGTAAATTTCAACTATCATGCGATCAATTTATACTTAAATCAAAGGGAAAGATGTTTTCATAAAATTTGTTTTGAAGGGGAAGCTAAATTCTTCCTTTTTAGCCAGTTTACTCAAAACACACACCCCCAAAACTTTTCAAGGAAAAATGGGAGCCATGAGGAAATGGAAATGATCAGAATGCAGAACATAATGAAACTACAGAAAAAATTCCACCTCTGAATTCAACTGCTTACCATTTTGCACAATAAGAGCTCCAAGTCCAGTTGGGTAACCAAATAGCTGGTGAAAATAGAAGATACAAAAATAAACTTCGCCCTTCACAGCATAATTAGCAATATATTTACAATTTATTTGTACAACTACAGAGATCTTATACATATACCTTATAAAATGACACTACGACAAAGTCTGCCTTGTATTTAGACAAATCTGGTGGTGCTGTTGTACTTCCTTTTGCAGCATCAATAATAACCATCCAGTTCCCTCTGTTTATAGATATTAAGCCAGGACATATTTCAGGAAATCTTATTGAAGTAATATACATATCATTGTAGAAAGGCACACTAGCAAAACAATAATCAAAAACAATTTAAAAAGTTAAAAATCTAAATTGTAGCCATTCCTGGCTACTTTCTTTATCTTCCTTAACTCTCCTCTCTCTTTAGTACCTAGATCCTCTTTTTCACCATCGATTAAAAAAGCAAGCTGAGAAAAATGTACATAATGTTTCAGTCAACCAAAATCTTTTATCAACTAAAATCCCTCTGAGTCAACATATAGAGATCATAGCACTTTTCATGGAGAGAAATCCCTCTTAGGCTCAACGATGGAGATAGAGATATTGTTTAGATAGAATTAAGCGGAAAATAAATAAATAAATAAATAAATAATAATAATAATAATAATAATAATAATAATAATAATAATAATAATAATTATCAATTATGTTTATTAGATGAATTATAATATTTTGATAAAGTTTTAGGTTAGTAGAAAGTCCCTTGATTTTAGTTTCTTTTTATTTTCTTTTCTCTGTAAATAGAGGGTTTATCATTGTAATAGATACACTTGAATATATAATAAATTAATTTTCCTCTTTTCCCTCAATTCTTCTCTTCTTTTACCCCCTTTCTTTCTTTTCTCAACCTATAAGAGTACAAAACATATCTTCACAAAATAGAATCCCCTCTGAAAGACTCACACTACTGCATCATGCTGGAAAGAAAAGAATACCAAAAAATTTTTAAAATGAAATCCAAATATTTATTAGAGGGGACTGAAAAAAAGAGGCAATCAACACCAACTCCTTAAACAACTAAACCATAGGATATTTGGCTAGCCTTGAAAATCAGTGTAGGAAAATCGTAATTTCATTATGTCAAGAAGCTAGTAACATTACTGGCAATCCAGTTATAACTCGAATACCTGTGATGTGTAGAGGATTCAAACATTTCAGACAAATCTTCCTTCATGAAATTTACCAGGTCAAGGTTAAATCTCAGACCTGAAAAGTTGCATTCCGAGGGAAATGCAAATAAGTTGTATGTATCACCTGTAATTAGAAACAAGTAAAAATAAATATGATATGTAATGATCAGAAGCACTGTTGATTTCCAATGTAAAATACATCTGCCTAACCCTCAAGATCTAGGTTCCAAAGAAACAAGGACGAGCACATGATTTGTTTTTATATCTCCACAACAAATAATATTCTAAAAATACCATATATTAACTTTCCTAATGCATAGCTAGCTTAATTTGATAAAAAGATCAATTTGCCTGAGTTGGAGAACAGGGGGTCTCAATTCAAACAATGGTTAGTGAGAAGCTTTTATACATGGTTTATTTCCTTTTCGAGTTGCAATGATTCACTTGCCATGCAAATGCTACTATCTTGACTACGGCATATTAGGTGAAATAGTGCTAGGTTGAATAGGTGGGCCACGAAATTTGTGTATTAAATCATTAATAAGATTTTCTGGAGAAAAAATGTGCTAGATAACTTAACCAGTGGCCTCTTTTTTAAGGAATCTGTGTTCGCTTCTCCTCTGCTCTTGGTGTGGGATAATCTTAAAAGCCGATTTACCACTGTCGGGTTGATCATGATCTACAACCTCTTCAACATCCACTGAGAAAGCTGCAGCTCCTCCATTGAGTGCATATCTAAAGATTATTAAGGGAAAGATTCGAGAAACACGATGCATAAAAAACTAATTAGCAAAACAGTGCTAGAGAATTAAAATTGATGATACTTCTTCTTTGAAGTCATGCAAGCATTCCACGATATCAACGTTCTATATCACTTTTTAATTAAATGGTCATGGTTCTACACAACATCTTATATGGTTATTCAAAAGCAAGAAACAACCTGTTATTGATATGAAGGATACTCTCTGATTCCAAGGACACTGTTGTGATTCTCCATGGTATACATAAAAGTACTCTGACTACTCCATGGAAAGGTCTCTCCAACAAGTTTCAGTGCAGCTGTAGCCCCAGAGGTAAATATGCATTTATATTCTCTAGGAGATGCATTAAAGAAATTAAGGACCTGCACCACAATCATAATCAATTCTCAATTATATTTTTTGAACTTCATAAGTTACTCTTAAGAATAGATATATTTAGCAAAATTTCCATTCAGTAAAAAGTAGTGATATTCATAGTGAAGCCACCCTACACGGTGGCAGTTTGTTATTTGATAAATTGATATACTGTCATGTGTTTGCCACATAAAGCGACTACAGGTCTTCTATGATGAGAAGAGAAATCTGATGACAATGCCTGACCTGTCTACGAGCATCGTCAACAATGTTACTTGTGGTCACACTGCAGTCGCTTTGGCTATCTATATGTTTTATGTAATTAAGAAATCCATTTAAAATAATATCAAACAGTTCAATGATAAAAATGAAAAATTAAGGATACGGGGATTTCCATAGATAGTAGAATTGAAATCCTTGAAAATGGCTTCCATTTGTGACTCAGAATACAGAGTTGCTCCAGCATGATCCAAGTACGCAACGTCTAAACAGTCGCCGAACATGATGTTTCAATTATAAAAACTAGTAGAATTAAAATAACCTATTTAAACAAGGATATTTTTTTAATATCAAGACTAGATAAAGCAACTAAGCGAAAGAACCCTAACCATCCAAGCGTTTAAATTCGGTGGCTCTGAGCTCATCAATGTTTTTGGGTGCATTTGGATAGCCATAATCTTCACCAAACTCCCTCAAGAACTCTTCCTTCTCTGGGTCGATTGCCATATTGTAATTCTCACACCCAAAAAATTATAGAAATAACTCGTATGGCCAAGTGCCGTGGTAGACTGGTGCTTTTGCTGCCGAGCAAGTTGAAATTATTCGGTACGGCAAATCTTGAACCGGCGTTGATTTGTAGGCTAAGCCAATTTAATGGGGCCCCAAATTCAATTTCCTAGGATCTTGTACTGTTCTTACCGACTATGCCAAATTTGGTTCAATTCTCAGAGAAAACGTGGATTGTTCAAATAACGAATATCTTTACTCCCTTTGAAACATTCACAACTTTACCATTGATTTTAAATACAAAAAGAATCACGCTACTGCGACACAAGAAATTTTGCCAACCTCCCACTCTCGAATAGGGAGTGGGTTCCACTTTCGTTTTGCATTTTTTATTTTTGTGGGCTCCATGTATTGTGAGATCCGTCAAACAAGTGAGTAGAAATCTTATGGCAAATGAGTTTTATCCATAGAAAAAAGCTGGAGGTCTAGGGCCTATGAATTTTAAATAGAAAAAAGAGAAAATTTCATTTGTAAGATATTAAATATGACATATTTTAAAATTAAGAAAATAAATTTCAAACTTCAAAAATCAGATTTTTATTAAAATTTATTTATAATTTAATGTCACAATTTATGTTTTTTATTAATCACATATTATTTATTGGTCACAGATTAATCAATTTGCTGGTCACAATCAACCAAATAATCTGTGACCACCACCAACACTTACGATCATCAATTCAACGTTGCCTTCAACAGTATTACCACCACTGTCACTGCCAGAACCATCACCAAATTGATCACAAATTGATCAATTACAGGATTAATGCCACCACCTCACATATTTAATTCCTCATATTGCCTCAGTGTTAATTGCCTCAGTAAATGTAAAAAAAGTCATATTTGTGCAGCTAATTTTCCAGTCACAGAGCCTCAAACCCTTGATTGAATAGAGAGATTGTACAAAGTAATAATTACCTTCAAAAAACATCAGCACATGTAATCTGGCATCCACCGCATACCCTTGATCAACATTTTTATTTATCAAAATAGGAACTATTATTAAGTTATCAGTTATCTCTAAAATCTTAAGATTGAGACGCATAACGAAACGAAGTCACGTTTTCCAATGCAATTAAAGACACCTCAAGCAATTCATGACTTTGACAAATCCCAAATTAGTCCAATGTTATGACTTCTAAACTAACATATACTAAAAAGAACATTGTTAAAGCCGTAGGGATTACATTAACATTGATTTTGCCTTATCCAATTATTATCTACAAGGAACAACCTTCAGTATACTGATTTCCCAATTTTACATGACCAGAATTCTTTAATAACATCAAACCTTTTATTTTGACATCATCTAACCCACCACCCCAGCAATCAGGGTAGTGGGATCACCAAGAACTGCAGAAATCACAAATTGTAAAGCAAATCCAGCCACTTCACAACATTTTTGAACTTTTCCTCAGAAATCTCACGTCACCGCACCTCGTACAACTCTCAGATTAACGTACCTTGTTGCTCCATCTCGCAGATTAACGCCGCTCGCATGCTACACCTTGCACAGATTGAAGTCTCGCGTCGCCTCCACCTCCCACGGCCACTCTAGTGTGTGGGTAAAGAGACGGTAGAGATAATAGAGAGAGACGAGAGAGCGAGAGGGGGGAGATGGGTCTGTGTCTTGGTAGTCGATAGGGTTTTTAATTTTTGATAATTAGTTTATTTAGATAATTAATACAAAATTCTGATTTTTGAAATATTAAACTTTCCTCCTGATTTTAGAATTCTTAATTTTAATACTAGGATTTTGTGTAATTTTCACTAGAAAAAAGCTGGAGGTACATAGGCCCCGCCGGATGTGAGAGAAGCTAGGGGCGGCCCCCAGCTTTTTTTAAAAATTGCTGTGGGGCCCGACCCCCCTACAGTGAGGGTCTGTGCACCCCTTGTGAACCAAGCTCCTATACGTGGAGCTCGATTCTTTTAAATATACTTATTTAAATCAATGGTAAATATATAGGTAATGGATTAATTATATGAATGGTTACTAAATTGTGCCATATATTATTTCTTAATAACTAAATTTAAAAATTTATATCAATGGTAACTGAACTATGCACCATGTTATATATCCATCACTCAAATGAAAAAGTCAGTTAAGTTCAACGAACGACGTCAACTTGAGCGACGAATTGATAGCACGGTACATAGTTCTATGATCAATGAGATATATTTTTGAACTTAGTTATGGAAGTGATAACATTTAGCAAAGTTATGTGATAATTGAGATACATTTTTTATGTACAGTTATTAAGTAATAACAACTTCTTTTTTCTTCAAATCGACCTCTGTGAAAGAATAATCCTAAGAAAATGAAGGGAAAAATGTTGAAATGTCAAATCGACCTCAATTACATTGGCACTAATTCAAACATTTTTGTATGTTTTTAAAATTTTTCTCTATCATTTTCTTTTAGTGTTCTTATTGTTTCTCTTTCAATCTTTTACACAAAGTTCGAGATGCGGTGAACTGATACAAATTGATCTAAAAATCAAATGTAATTTCATTGTGGTGAAGCCGATATATCGATTAAAAATATAACTTTTTCCTCTTTATTTTCTTCAGTTTCTTATTTCACGGTGGTCGATTTGAAGAAAAAAGAAATTGTTTCTACTTAATAACCGAACTTAAAGTATCTCAATGATCACTAAACTTCGCCAAGTGTTATTGTTCGTGTGAAACCTGTAAGCGTACGGGATCGTTGACAAATAATAGATTTGAGTTAGTTGAGAGTATCGTTCCACGGGAAATAAATTCAATTCAAATTTACTAGTTTTGTATGGAATTCGAATTATGTAAACAAAAACGAGGAGTTTTTATTTGATTTATGCTAAATTAATCTAATAAAGCTATAAAAACATGCTTTTTAAAATCAAATTATGGATGATTTTATTGGATTTCGAATTCGTATATTGGTATCTATTTCAATTTTTGATTTGTAATCTAGTTCCGTTCATGCGTTCTTAATAATCGATAAAGTTATGATATGTAATTTTCTTTTCCAAGACAAATTAAATCTATTCTAACCACGGCCAGAATCTATTCCTAGCCCGAATTTAAGCTCCTGTTTGGCCTCAATTAATTTTCATTCCATTACATTTCATTTTTATTTCTCCTGTTTCAATCACACAATCTTTCATAAAATAATATTACACGTAAATCGAAAACTTTCATTCTTTTTCAACTACTCATTTTTCAAAAAAATACTATTACATCCATTAATTTTTCCACAAAATGGGGATCAAACAGGGGCTAAATTGTTAGAACACATTAAAATTTAGATTATCTATATGATTGCATATATAATAATTGTTATTCCAAACATCTATTGTATATATCTTAATTTTACCACGTTCTAAACTTATTATGAGTTTCTCAACACTACAACAAGCAATTGATTATCTAATTGATGGCGTATCAATTAAATAATGCAACGAGTATGCAAAATTAATCAAGAAACACAAAAATTAAACTAAACTACTAGTCTTGAATTAGAAATAAATAACAAATATGGTTCATCTTCATCCAATACAAAAGCGGATCTAGCCTAGCATATTAATAAATAAATTACAAGAAGAATAATAGAAAAATATTACCCCGATCATAAAAGAATACAAAAAATATTGATCTTCATGTCCAAACTTAAATTCTTCAAAATCTTGTTGTAATTGAATTTCAATTCTTTTCTAGGGCTTGATCTCCTCTCTCAAAATAGTAATTTGTCCTTTATTCTTTATGAATTTGATAAAACTATTGTGTATATTCACACAACACATTTTGTTAATTGCAATAAAAGTCTTTAAATTTTGCATTTGTGTCCTCAACTTCTCTATTTATATATTTTTTTTATCCTCAATCATTGTCTCAGTGATATCACAAAAATTCATGATGAGGGAGAAAAGAACTTATATGTCCATCGTATTTCAAAACAAGCAAGAAAAATACGAAAGTTCGACAAAATACTTCTCATGCTAACAATATATTTTGAACAGAAATTGTCATCTTAGATAAAATGTGTTAATTAATTAAAGATTAAAGGTAAGTATGCAATGAGAAAAGTTGAAGAAAACAGTGTCAATGGGCAAAAACTAAAAACCTTTATTGCAATTAAATATGGTATGTGAAACAATTTTTATTTGTTACACGACATTTTGATTCCACTTAAAGTCCCCAATCTTTGCTCACTATAATATTCATGTCCTTAACTTTTTTTTCGATGCATTCTTATTCGAATCTTTTTTTAATTAGTATATCTCGTATTCGATCGTGGTTCTCATAAAAAAGGTCCGTTCGAAGGACATGAAACAACTTATTTTCGATCATATTTAAAAAAAATAAAAATAAATGCAAAAGTGTGACAAAATTTATTTTCCTCGTCCCAAAACACAAAAAGTATTTCACTATAAACCGTTAATTTGATAATTAAGAGGAGGCTGAAGGTAAGAATTTGAAGACAATAATTAAAGACGCAATTGTTATAATAAATAAAAGTTAAGAAACTTAAATGCAATTAGAATATAATACAACTAATAAAAATTGTGATGTTTATATAATTATATTACTTAAAAATGTGTATAAAAAATATTTTTCGTGGCGGCTACCTTTGAGAAACTAGGTACACAACTCAACAAACTCACATAGATTTTTACTTCATTAAAATGTCACTTACCGGGTTCTCCATAACATGCAAATTGCAATGGTTTTTAACTAACTAATTTTTGAACCACAAATTAACGAAGGTGATTGACACCACTTCCTAGATACAAGTTAAATAAACCTTGTATTTAATCAAACTCTTTACTAAATTACTTTACTTAGATTAATTTGAAATATCGAAAATTTCTCAAGCAGATGTTCTTCTCAATATAAAAAGTGATAGATTTTAAACTATTAAGTACTAGTGCTTGCTTCCAAATATATATATATCCCTCTTACTCTAAAAAAGAGAATTCGTCGGTTACTATTCATTCACGACGTTTTTTTTTTCTTTTCTATCCTTTTATCCTCAAAGAAAACAACAAAATACTAACGCCATTGGTAGTCATTTCAACCAAATTTGTGTGGAAAATTTTTACCCTTTCATAGAGTTCCTGGCAAGAAAGGGGTCAATAACTGCAGCCGTATTTATTATATAGAAAATATCTTCATTGTGGTCAAATTTGCAAATATTGGTCAATAATGTATTTATTTTTATAAAGGGGATAAATCTTCTTTTACTAGAGATTTGTTTAAATCAGTCAACAATGTCATGCAAAAATGTACAAAAGAGAGAGAGAGAGAGAGAGAGAGAGAGAGAGAGGTAGGCAATGGTGGGTTAGGAATTAAACAAATGTTTCATTTTGTTATGTATGATTCAGATTGCTAAAACGAGAAGCTGAGAAAAAGAAAACAAGAGGAAAAGAGGAAAAAAAAA